TGAAAGAAAATACCCAAATCCTTCCATTTAGAAATGAAAAGGGTGCAATCACAACAGATCCTGCAGAGATCAGAAGATCATCAATATCTATTTCGAGAACCTGTATTCTAATAAAATGGAAAATACAGAAGAAATGGACAGATTCCTAGATACATATGAATTACCAAAACTGAATCAAGAAGATATAGAAATTCTAAATAAACCAATATAAGCCAATGAAATTGAATATGTAATTAAAAAACTACCAACAAAGAAAAGCCCTGGCCCTGATGGATTCACTGCTGAATTCTACGAGAAGTTTAGAGAAGACCTAATGCCGTGACTGTGACTACTCAAACTCTTCAAACTCTTTAATGAAATTGAAAGGGAAGCAATATTCCCAAATTTATTCTTGGAAGCAAGCATTACCTTGATTCCAAAACCAGAGAAGGATCCAACCAAAAGGATCCTTCCAACCAAAAAGGCCAATTTCCCTAATGAATACAAAAATCCTCAATAAGATACTAGCAAACAGAATGCAGCAAATCATCAAGAAGTTCATACACCATAACCAAGTTGGATTCATCCCAGGGGTTCAGGGATGGTTTCACATACACAAATAAATGTAATACACTACATTAACAGAACCAAGGAAAAAAACTATATGATTCTCTCAATAGATGCAGAAAAAGCACGTGACAAGGTCCAACACCTTACAGAAAATTGGTATAGATGGTCTTTATCTCAATCTGATAAAAGCCTTCTATGACAAACCAACAGCCAACATCATACAAAATAGACAAAAACTGAAAGCTTTCATTCCAAAATCAGGAATAAAACAAGGATGTCCACTGTCACCACTCTTGTTCAAAATCGTGCTGGAAAGAGTAGCCAGAGCAATTAGACAAGAGAAAGAAATAAAAGGAATAGGATAGGAAGGGAAGAAGTTAAATTATCATTATGTGGGGATGACATGATACTCTACATAGAAGACCCCAAAAACTCCACCAAAAGACTTAAATTTGATAAACAAATTCAGTGGCATAGCTGAATACAAAGTCAACACTCAAAAGTCAGTACCCTTCCTGTACACAAATAACAGACTCACAGAGAGAATCCCTTTCACAATAGCATCCAAAAAAATGAAATACTTAGGAACCAATCTAATGAAGGAAGTAAAAGACCTCCACACTGAAAACTATAGTACTCTAAAAAAAGGAGATTGAAGAGGATATCAGAAAATGGAAAGATATCCCTTGTTCTTGGATAGAAAGAACCAATATAGTGAAAATGGCCATATTTCCAAAATTGTTATACAGATTCAATGCAATTCCAATCAAAATTCCAATAGAATATCTCATAGAATTAGAAAAAACAATCCTAAAATTCATTTGGAACCAGAAGAGACCTAGAATAGCAAAGGCAATTCTGGGCAACAAAGGCAAATCTGGGGGTATCACAATCCCTGACTTTAACAAAGCTATAGTAATAAAAACAGCATGGTACTGGCAATAGAACAGACCTGAGGATCAACGGAAAAGACTAGAGGATGCAGAAACAATTCTAGACATATTCAACCACCTTATCTTTGACAAAGGAGCCAAAACTTCACTGGACGAAAGATAGCCTTTTTAATGAATGGTGCTGGAAGAACTGACTTTTCACATGCTGAAGATAAAAACCAGACCCATATCTTTCACCATGCCCTAACCTAAAATTGAAATGGATCAAAGATCTAAATATTAAAACAGAAACACTAAATCTGCTGGAAGAGAGAATAGGTAGAAGGCTTGAGGATATAGGAGCAGGCAAAGACTTCATGAACAAAACCCAGACCACATGGAACCTCATCTTATTAAAAAGCTTTTTCACAGCAAGAGAAACCATCAACAAAGTGAAGAGACAACCCACAGAGTGGGGAAAAAATTGTACCAGATTTTCAGATAAAGGACTATTATCTAGAATAAAGAACTCAAAAAAATTAGACTCCCCCCAAAATGGGCATCTGAAATAAAAAGACACTTTTCAGATAAAGAATTAGAAACAGCAAATAAATATATGAAAAAATGTTCAACATCACTGGTCATTTGAGAGATGCAAATTAAAACAACGCTGAGATTCCACCTCCTGAAAGAATGGCTGCTATCAAGAAATCAACCAAGGGCCAGGGATTTAGCTCAGTGGTTCCGCCGCCTGCCTCACAAGCCAAGGACCTGAGTTCGATTCCCAGTACCAAAAAAGAAAGAAATCAACCAATAACAAATGCTGGAGGGGCTGTAAGGAGAAAGGAACCCTTCTCGAAGGTTGCTGGGAGTGTAGACTTTTGCAGCCACTGTGGAAATCAGTGTGGATTTTTGTCAAGAAACTAAAACTAGAGATTCCATTTAACCCAGCTATTCCTCCTCTTATCTTCCTAAAAGAATTAAAAGTATCATACCACACTGGTATATGCACACCCATGTATATAGCAGCACAGTTTGTGATAGCTAAATCTTGGAAACAGCCCAAATGTCCATGAACTGATGAGTGGATAAAGAAGATATGCTTTTTTTGTACAATGGAGTACTATTCTGCCATAAAGAAGGATGAGCTCCAGACATTTATAGCTAAATGGATGGACCTTGAGACCATACTCTTAAGTGAAATAAATCAGACTCACATTTAAACACTGCATTGTTTCTCTGGTGTGAGAAACTGAGTGTGGAAATAAGTACTGAGATGTATAATGGATGTTGGGAAATGGGAAGAACGTGCTCAAATGAGAAGGGGAACAAGGGAGGAGGGAGGAAGGAAGGAAGGGACAAGAAAAAAGTGAAAACAGAAAAAATGGAAACAAAGCTTTTGTACATAAGGAGGGGAGGGGCCTTGAGGGGGAAATGGGATAAAATAAAAAAAAATTTTAAAGAGTAAATGGAAATTAGTAATATTAGATAACAGTAATAGAGACAATCACACAGGAGAGGCTTAAATAATAGGGAATGGAGATGAAACTAAAGGAAAAGAAAGAAAAAATATTAAAGGAATTAGTAGAAAGAGAGAAAGAAAAGAAGGGGGCACGAGAGAGTAAAAAGTATTAATGTTCAAACATATAATTCGAAGTAAATTTAAATTGGGTGGACAAGTAACCAGGTGGTTAAACTCCAACCTCCACCCAAAGCAAACAACAATAAAAGTGAAAAATAAAAAAATATACCAATAATGGAGGGAAAAAAGTTGCTATATATTTCCAGATGAATGTTTCATTCCCAGGTCAATAGTCTTTAATCTTACAAGTCACATTCCTCTCCGACTTTTTTTTTTTTGGTACAAGGGATGGAACTCAGGACTTTGTGCAAGACAGGAAGTGGCACCACTGAGCTAAATCCCACGCCTCGCCTTTCTTTATAGTGTGTGAATTTGTATGGAAGTCATTCAATTCAAAGGAGCCTCTCTCCATAGTCCCATGTATGGCAGCTGTTCGAGCTGGGTAACCGGACCAGGGAAGGTGTGGAGCCTTGTTTTTGAGCCTCCTGTTGATTCCTTCTCTTTTTTTTTTTCCTGGTACCAGGGACTGAACTCAGAACCTTGTGCTTGCAGGGCAGGCACAGTGCCACTGAACTAAATTCCCAGCCCTCTTGATTCCTTGTTGCTGGTTACCTGATGGATTTTCCAGTGTCTGTGGGACAGGCTTCTGGTATATGGAGGCTCCTGTGGGCTCTCAGACTCATCAGTCCTGTGGATGCTCAGGGGCAAGACAAATTGCCCAGAACTAACCTGGGCCGATTTCTACAAGCCCAGTGAGGGTGCAGAGCACTAGGTGGTGTCTCGCAGGTGTCCAGAGTACCAGGCAGAATAGGAATTAGTCCATGCTGCTTAATCAGAGGATGGGCCTACTATGTTAGCCAGGGACTGTGTCTGGAGCTCTGACTGAACGCAAGGTGGAGACTCCGCTGTGCCCAGGGTGCGTGAACACCTTGTGTAAACTTTGGTTGTCCAGGGACTGGTGTTAGGTGTTAGACTGAGACTCTGGTGGGTCCAGGATTGGAGGTCAGTGAGAGCTCAGTGTAGGCTCAAGGACCCTGCAGTGCTGAGTATGGACTCAAACTGGACCAGTCTTAGCTCTGTGTGCCAAATCAATGTTCCAGCTTGCTTGGGATAAACTGTAGGCTAACAATGACTCAGGATTCAATATTGAAGACTCCAACACAGGAAATGGTTGCCCACTTATCTGCTCAGTATCTGAGAATGAACAGGAAGGTCTGGGGAGGGAGCAGCTCCCTGATCACTCCCCCTTGGTGTGTTCTGGTGAAAACTACTGCCAGGCTGCAATATCCTGTTTGGAAAGGGGATAGTGATCCAAGGAGCCATATACCCCAAGTCTATCCTGTGTGGCTCAACTCTGTCACACTACTTAGATCCTACCAGCTAGTTGGGAACTTCTTGGAATGGCAGTTCCTGTGTTGGGTGAGGGCTGAGGCCCTGTGTGCAGCCTTGTCTGACTGCTTTGCCTCTTTTAAATTCCTATGTGTATGTTTTGTTTGAGCTACAAGTCTCTTCTTTCAAATTGATTTTTTGCCTCAGGACATAGGTCCCATTCTTCCAATTACCTGTTTTCACTTGATCTTTTAGTCTCTCAGATAGGACTCTTCCTGTTTAGTCATGTTACTACCCTAGGCAAATGTATTTAAGAACTGACCTAAGTTCTTGAAAATGCAGAGGCTTAGCTAAATAATGCTGCATCTACAATGGTGGAATTCTAGACTTTTTTTTTTTTTGAGACAAGGTCTATGTAGTACAGACTGGCCTTGAACTTGTGGCAATCTTCCTGTCTCAGCCTCCCAAGTGCTGGGACTACAGGTGGGCACCACACCCAGTTTAGATAATTTAAATTACTCCAGAAGGAGGGCCAGGGATTTAGCTCAGTGGTTCTGCCACCTGCCTCGAAAGCAGAAGGTCCCAAGTTCCGTCCTGAGTTCGATCCTCAGTTCCAAAAAAAAAAAAAAAAAAATTACTACAGAAGGAAATAACATGTAAATGGATAATCATTTTGATAAATGAGATGAACATTTATTTTTAGTTATACAGAGAAACTTCCCCCAAGAAACAGATGCTGTCTCACCATTTGAGAAAAATGAAAATCCACTCTGAGAGAGAAAAGACTGAAGATTTTAAGACAAATTTAAACAGCAAGGCCGAGCAGTGGCAAAACTGGCAGGTGTATGGGGAGAAAGGTTCTAGTATGTCACATTTTTTCGGGCCATGGTTTCCTAATTTAATGAAGGGACTGTCATACGCTTTGGTGGCATAGAAACTCTCTAGCAGATCAGTGTAAAATGCTTCTTTAGGTTCAATCCCCAGCAACATACACACACACTCTTACTCCTAACATGACTTGCAGTCTGTCTTTGTCTTGCCAAGGTTACCTGTAATTTTTGTTAAAAGCCATCAGGTCCTGCTGATTACACATCTGGCCAGAGTGCCTGTAGCCTGTATTCTATGGATTTACTTATTTTTGGTTTTTTAAGACAGGGTCTCCTTACATGGTTCAGGCTGGCCTTGAATTCACTATGGGCAATCTTCCCACCTTAGCCTCCCCAGAGCTAGGATTACAGGCATGTGCCACCATGTCTGGCTGCATTCTGTGAATTCTTTACCCTGTCTTAAGTAGAGCCAACTGAGCAGCTGGGTCCCCCTAACAGCTGTCACCCCCTGACTGTGTGGCTTGACTTGGAGATTGGAGAGGCTTCTCCCTGGCATGGACAGTGAGGTGGGTGTTGAGAGCCCCCATGTAGGTAAAGCTCCTTCCACACTCTCCGCAGGAGAAAGGCCTCTCCCCACTGTGCTGCTGCAGATGGGCCGTCAGACTCCTCTTCTGGAGGAAGCCTTTGCCACACTCGGGACACTGGAAGGGCTTCTCCCCGTTGTGTGTATACAGGTGGACCTTCAGGCTACCCCGGATGCAGTAGCTCTTGTCACACTCTGGACACTGGAAGGGCTTTTCGCCGCTGTGGACCCGAGAGTGTTCTGTAAGCCGGTACTGGTGGGTGAAGCTTTTGCCGCACTTATTGCAGGAGAAGGGCTTTTTGCTACTGTGCTGGAATAGGTGGCTCTTCAGATTCCCCTTGAGCCGGAAACTCCTGTCACACTGGGGACATTGGTAGGGCTTCTCCCCACTGTGGACCCGCAGGTGCTCAGTGAGCTGCGACTGCTGAGCGTAGGACTTGCCGCAATCGCCACACTCAAAAGGCTTTTCGCCCCTCTGTGTGTGCTGGTGGGACTTCATGGAGGCCTTCCAGGAGAAGCTCTTATTGCACTCAGGACACCAGAAGGGCCGTGCCTTGCTGTGAAGCCACGTGTGCTCCAGGAGATGCCAGTGGCCCCGGAAACTCTGGCCACACGTGGTGCAGAAGGGCTTTTCCGCAGCATGGATCTTGAGGTGTTGTGTGGGCCTAGAATGCCAAGGAAAGGTTTTTGTGCACTGGGTACAGGGGAACTCCTTCTGCCAGGTGTGGACGCCAGCATGGCATGCCAGCTTGGAGGACCGGGTGAACCTCTTGCCGCAGTCCCTACAGAAGGGCTTCTCCTCCCTGTGCAGGCACTGGTGAGGCCTCATGGCATTCCTCCAGAAGCAGCTCTGGGCACACTCCAGGCACTGGAAGGGCTGCTTCCCCCTGTCCTGGGATTGGTGGGCTATGAGCCTTCTCTGTAGGCGGAAACTCTTGTAACACTCAGGACATGGAAAGGGCTTCTCTCCTGTGTGACCCCTGACATGCTCTGTGAGCTTGGTCTTGTAGATGAATTTCCGCCCACAGTCGTCACAATCAAATTGCTTTTCCCCACTGTGCATCCTTTGGTGGGTCTTTAGGGCAGCCTTCCTGGTAAAGTACCTGCCACACTCTGAGCAGCAGAAGGGCTTTTTCCCACTGTGCTGGCAAAGGTGCTCGGTGAGCTTGCACTGCTGGGCAAAACCCTTGCCACACTCCCCACAGCAAAACAGCTTCTGCCTGCTGTGCAGATGCAGGTGCTTCCTCAAATTGGCCTTGTACTGGAAGGCCTTGCCATAGTTGGGGCAGGGGAAGGGCTGCTGCCCTGTGTGGACAGCCTGGTGAGTGGCCAGGCTGCACCTCAGGTAGTAGCTCTGCCTGAACTCACTACACTGGAATGGCTTCTTCCTTTGAGGGAACATCGGGGTCCGCCTGTGTTCTGACTGCCCTCTGGGTTTACTTGTGCACTTTGCACATTTCCGGGGCTGGTTCTTGGAGTGGCTCTTTCTGTGCTTTACTAAGATGCTCTTCATCTGGAAGGCTTCCCTACAGACAAAGCAGGAGTAGGATCTGGGCTCTGGATGAATTTCCAAGTGGCCTGCAGCACTCATAGGCTTACACCACGGGTTTTTCTTGTCCTGATTAAGTGCTGAAGTGTGAAGTTTTTTATTTATGATCTCTGTTTCCTGGAGTCGTGGAGACTGAAAGTTGGCTCTCTGATCTGATAAACCCTCTGGTTCCTTCCCAAATAAGTTAGCACACAAGTCCTGATTGTGAAGACCATTTAAATGGCATTCTTCTCCTTTTGTCCTGAGAGTTCCTTGGGCATCTGGAAAAGAAAAAAAAATCAGTCATAAGCGATATGTCTACTGCATAGTGGGGTTCAAGGACTATCTTACCTCTCATCTCAGTGACTTTGTGAACTTGCCTCCTGCAGGTAATTTATGCTTAACTTTTATATTCTTTTCACCTTATGTTAAAAAATGGCTTCACATGAAAAAATTAGGAAAAAATGCATTTTGTGAACATACAGAAAACCCTCTGTGGGTAAGCAGAAGTTGGAGACAATAAAAATGAGCCACTCTGAGAGTCTGACTGTACTATTATACCATTTCCTCAAACCTGTGAAATAAACAGCATAATTTAAGTAGGGAGGCTTACAGTCATATTCCTGTCTCCTTGATTCCATAGATGTCAAGAAAAATTCTCCAAAAAAAAAGCTAACATTTGATCCCCAGTACCAAAAAAAAAAATGCTAACAAAAAATATCTTCTTAGAAATGTCAAGTGGCCGGGTGTGGTGGCGCATGCCTGTAATCCCAGCACTCAGGAGGCAGAGGCAGGAGGATTGCTGTGAGTTCGAGGCCAGTGAGGGCTATGTGGTGAGTTTAAGTCCAGCCTGAACTATATAGCAAGACCCTGTCCCCCCCCCAAAAAAAGAAGAAAGAAATGTTAAAGTGGCAGTGTACTAAATCCACAAAAAGCACCACATATTACTTTCTTTTCCAAAAAACTATGTATTATAAGAAAGATACTTATATAAGCACAACCACTGCTGTTTCCAAAGTAAAAGCCACCCAGGATGGCAGAGAACAGGGCTGTTACATTATTCCTCCCCATGGATCTGGAAAGGAAAATTGCAGATGTTCACTTAAGTCAGTGCATTTCCCAACTGCTTCTCCTTCCTGTTCTGCTGAAGTGGGTAATGGAGCTCTCCTTTCTTGTTTTTAACTTTTTAACCTGAAGGAAGCCTGGGTCTTGTCCCAAGAGAAGGGCTCTCCTGATGCTCTGAGGTCATCTTATGAGAACACAGGTAATCTTCTAACAGATCAGCTACTTAGTGAGACAAAAACACACCTGTCTCTGCAAATCCTACTCCTCATCACTGGAGTTTAATCTTCCTAAAAACATGCTTTTACTGTTTACCCCAGGCAGAGGAGCAGTTTGATTATTGGGTGAGTACCACCTAGCACAAAGGGAATGACTATTTTTAGGGATAACTACCTTAGTTGTTAACTCTTTGGTATTCAAGAAACTTTTCAAGCTCCTCACTTTCAACAGGATTAAGTCAAAATTTTCACCTTGGCCTTCCAGCTCAGATATCTAATGCTACCTTCTATTTCCCTTCCCATTTCCCACCATATTCCTGAGCAAGCATAGGCAGGTTAGTGTCTTCTTTGTTTTCTAAATGTAATGGATTTGTTCCCACCTTCGTGCCTTAGCTCCTGTAAGGCTCTGGTCAATTCTTCTTTCCTTAAACAAATCTGCCCATTCTTTGCTATTTAAATCCTAATTCCTAGGCAACCCATTCAGGACCCCTCCTGTATCTGAGGAGCTATTCCTATTCCCCAATAAATTTCTTTTTTTTTTTTTTTTTGGTACAGGGGATCAAACTCAGGACCTTGTGCTTGTGAGGCAGGCAGTGGAACAAGTGAGCTAAATCTCCAGTGCTAAATGTTCCTACTCTTAAAAAAAAAAATCCTAATTCCTTTTGCAGTCCTCCTGGGATACTGTTCTCTCCTCTGTCCTTTCTCTTCCAAATCCCTATAGCCATTTTAACTACAGCCACTTATTTTATCAATTCACATGGTGTTCTATTTTATAGTCGACCAAGTCCAAAGTTCAATATAATTGACTAATTTAAGTCTTGCGGTAGTAAGACAGTAAACATCTAGAGTATAGGGATTGTTGCATCTATATTTAGGTAGCTTCCCCCCTAGCCTAAGTAACACTAACATAGCCGTATGATTATGGCAGCCACTCAATGCTGTCTAACGCAGTGATGGTGAACCTTTTAGAGACGAGTGCCCAACCTGCAGCCTAAAACCCACTTATCACAAAGTGCCAACACTGCAATTAAACCTGAATACTGAGGTTTTAGTTTAGAAAAAAAACCTCATACATTAACATCTTTTGTTTTAAAAGAAAAACACATGTGCCCCAGGTTCGCCACCACTGTTCTAATAGGTGGTGGCAATGAAATTAAATCCTTGGGAATCCTATCCTCTTGATAAAGCTTAGGCACATTCCCCAGGTTCTAATTCCTCTCTTCTTAGTAGATTCCTTGGTTCTCAGGGACTTAGCAAAGCATTAACATACTAAAAAAGTGCTGGATCTGCTGGACATGGTAGAATATACCTGTAATCTCAGCACTCAGGAGGCTGAAGGAGGAGGATTGCTGTGAGTTCCAGGCCAGCCTGGGTAACACAGTGAGTTCAAGGCCAGCCTGAACTACAAAGTGAAACCGTCTCAAAAAGCCAAAACAGACAAAAAACAGTGTTGTATGTGGTTGGTGACACAGGCCCCAAATCCCAGCACTCAGGAGCCTGAGGCAAGAGGATCCTGAGTTCAAGGCTAGCATGGGGTATGTAGCAAGACAGTCTCAAAAAAGCCCTAAAAACAAAAATAAAAAACCCACATACACAAAAGAAAAGATATATCTATATCTTCCTTCTTAATAAAAATATAGTCTCATGTTTGCTACCTATTTAAGTAAGAAAAACAAACATTCTCTATCCAAACAATGTTTCTTATTGTCCAAGTCCAGCCAACTATTAGGGAAGAAAGATCCAGGAAACAAGGCTAGGGAAATTCAGTGATTCATCTTACCAAAACATGACTTACCAGTATTAAAGTTGAACAGCTCATCAGCGGAAGGGCTTACTGTCATTCCTGCTCTGTTCAAGCCTCCCTCACCTCTGATTAATAACATTTTCCCTTGTTCCATCAAGGTGATCAGGTGTGGCTTGGAAGAAGAGCAGCCTGTGAAGAGTCCACATAGGCTCGGTTTGAGTTTACTGAATTGACTTAAAATCATTTTCACAGCTGACTTTGCATTAGTTTCTCCCTCTATGTAGAATTCTCTCTTCCCTATTTTACATGGTTGACTCATCATTCCTATCTCAGAATGTTCTAAACCTTCAAACAGGGAATGAATCTCCCAGGGCAGACTGAGATCATTTACTCAGTTGATCCAGTAGACATGGTTTTCATGATACAAGCATGAGGTACAGTGGGTTGGAGAAGCAGCAAGGCAGAATTTCCCCAAATTCCTCTTTAAGCGAGTCCTTTTGTATCCCCTTGGAGACAGGTACCTAAGTGTCCCATCCACTGCTCTCTTTTCTTTCTCTACCCAAGCCTCCTTTCTTCCTTTCGTATCCACACTGTGCACTGTGTTGAGTTCTAGCTTATCCTAACTAAAGAACTGTGTCTCCTCCTAAGAGCCATAGTTAAGGCAGAAAATTCTGACAACAGAAGCAGGGACTGATAGGGAAATAAAAGAGCACACTTAGATTACTTAGATTTCTAACTGGGAGAAATGGAAGAGGGCTTGGGAGGGAGATAATGAATTCAGAGTATTAACATACTGAAGGCACAGATAAAACTAGGTAAAACAGAATGAAATCCACAGGACCTTGTAGGAAGGAAAAGAAATATCATGAGTTGAAATTGGGCACAGTGTCATTGTCAACTAGCTCATAACAGGGAGAGGAATCTTTTTTTTTTTTTTTTTTTTTTTGGTACCAGTGATTAAACTCAGGACCTTGGGCTTGGGAGGCAGGCGCTGCACCACTGAGCTAATCCCCCAGCCCAGGGAGAGGAATCTTACTAGCATTAGATTGGTTCCCAAGAAAGCAATTCATTAGAAGCCCATCTTACCCAGGAAATCAAGAGCCTCATAATTGGCTTTCATCACTTGTGCATAGATTTCCTTCTGCCACATCTCCAAGATCTCCCACTCTTGCTCCAAAAAATATAAGGCCACATCATCAAATGTAATGGTTACCTAGAATCACAGATAAGTAGTGCATAATACATTTTCACTTTATGGCTACTGTGTATTTCATTTTTTTAAAAGTTTTTTGAGACAGGGTCTATGTAGTCCAGGCCGGTCTTGAACTATGTAGCACAGGCTGGCTTCAAACGCCTGGTAATCCTCCTGCCTCAACCTCTTGAGTGCTGGGATTACAGGTATGTGCCACCATGCCTGGCTATGGCTACTTTGTCTTGCTTCATTTATAATTATTAAAAGGCAGGAAGAAAACATATTAGCTATTTGTGGATGGTGCTATATAATGAACAATGAAGGAGTTACATATGTGAATGAACAACAGGCCCCTAAGGACACAGTGCATCTAAAGGGGATCTTGTTCTTATCAGCAACCAATAGTTGCTATGCAAGACTAGGTCCACGGTTGCTGGATGTGTCAATCTTTTCAAACTTTTTTGTATTTTGAAATAATTATAGATTCACAGGAAGTTGCAAAGGTAGTACAGGTAGGTTCTGGTGTACCCATCACCACGTTCCCCCCAAAAGTCACACTGTGCATTATTAAACCTAGGAAATTAGCATTGCTACATTGTTATTAATTTTTCACTTTTTATAGCTGTATGGTGTGCCATAGTATAGACATACTAGATTAACCATTCACCTACTGAAGAATATTTCCAGTGTTTGTGTATCACACACACACCCAAAAGCTGGCATAAACAACTATGTAGAAGATTACGAGTGGGCACACACTTTCATTTTTCTGGGATGACAACCCAGAAACTGTAACAACTGTGTTGTGCAGGCGGTATATGTTTAATTTTTTCTGTTTTGTAGTGCAGCTGGGCATCAAACTCAGGGCTTTGAACATGCGAGACAAACATTCTACCACTGATCTACATCTCTTGCCCTATGTTTGTTTGCTTTTGGTTTTTTGGGTTTTTTTTGGTACCGGGATCGAACTCAGGACCTTGTGCTTTCGAAGCAGGTACGGCGCCACTGAGCTAAATCCCAGCCCCTTAAACTATTTTTGTAAGTGGCCTAAACCATTTTCCATCATCAATGGTTGAAAGATTTACTTTCTCAGCATCCTCAAAAGCAGCTGGTAATGTAACTAATTTAATTTTAATTGTCGTAATTGTGTCTTATTTGCAGGTTTCCTTCCCCCAGCTTCTCATCCGCGCATCCACAAGTGCTTCTCAGAGCCCGCCTGGCAACAGCTAAGTCTGCGACAGCCTCACGGCGACACTGGAGCCCAGCGAGAGTCCCTCGAGGTGAGGGACTACAGGCAGAGACCCTCCACTGCTCCAGCCCAGCCTGCACCCCGGTTCATTTCCAGAACTGGATGTGCTCCAAGCCCGCGTTTCTTCCGCCTGGCTCGAAGCTCAAGCCCTGAGCCCTGAGCCCCGAGCCCGAGTACATCAGGCTCCAACCGCCTCGCTCCCGGCGTGGGACTCGCTCCGGCCGTGACAGGGCTCAGCGCGGCAGAACCAACGTCCACTGGCGGCCCCCTTACCGAAGCTGGCTCGGCCATCACGGCCTCGCGGGAAGCGGCGTAGTCTCCCGCTACCGCAACCCTAGGCCAAGCGCCCGGGGACCCCAAAGCAGCACCGCCCTGGCGTGGGGCATGCTGGGACACGGCGGCCCGGGCTACGGTGGCCTCTTGGGCCCACAAACACCCCGTACGGACTGGAGGAGCGCGCTCCGCCTAAGTCCGCAGCCAAGGAGAAGCCACGAAGCTTGACTGATGGAGCCTCCAATTTAGGATCTCCAAGTAAAGGAAACAAGAAAAAGCTGAAGATAAGGTGGAAATGGAGACAGGAGACAGGAACCCGGAGATACCCACGACTCAGAGACCCAGACAGAGACGTAGGGAGCGTTAGTGGGAGCATCATCCTCCCCGGTTCCTCCCGAGACGACCCTGAGCCTAGGACCCGGCTGCAAGGGTCCATTTGCGGGGCGGTCCCCGGAATCAAGATATTAGAGCAGACCAGGATAAAAAGGCCGAGAAAGGGCCACCACCCGCCCCGAGTTTCCTGTGGTGGTCTAGGGGGTCCACCTGCCACAACGCTGGAGGCTGTGCCACTCAGCCTTGTCTCAGCTAGGAAGTGGGTAATTTGGCCACAAGTCCCGTCCTTCGCCATTGAGGTGCTTCTGGTGATCCAGATGCCGGCCGATCGCCCTCCCTTGGCCAGAGAATGCCTTCGGCCAGGGAGGTACAGCCACTCAGACCCAGGGGGCTGCTGCAAATGACAGGTGGAGCCAAGGGCTACAGGCAGGACACCTGCAGCATCTACAGGGAGACAGAGGGACAAAGATGTGGTTAAAGAGAACGAGGGGATAAAACAAGATAAAAATAGGGAGGTAGGTGGAGAGACACAAGAAAGGGTTAACACAGAGACAGAAAAAGGAGAGAGGGAGAAAATGATGGGTAACCGAAGAGAGTCAACCTCAGATTCTATCCTGACAATAAATAAGGTGCCAAGCTAAAGTAACATAAAGGAAAAGTGTCCCTATGATACTTGGGGGAGGGTACACATGACAGAAATAAAATATCGTAGTCCCTGCATAGGTATGATAAGCATATGCATCTATCTATGTTTGTTATAGAACAATGAAATGCAGTTATGTCATTACAATTCTTATTGTTTAAATTATCAGTCAAGGGCCGGGGATTTAGCTCAGTGGTTCTGGCGCCTGCCTTGCAAGCGCAAGGTCCTGAGTTTGATCCCTGGTACCAAAATAAATAAATAAAAATTTAAAAAAATAAATTATCAGTCAATAAAGTTAGTTTTTCTTTTGGTGTATAGTTCTGTGAATTTTACCAAATGCATGGACATATGCAATAATCATGATCACGCCACAGAAGGGTCGATAGCCCCAAAACTCCCTTAGCTGCCCCTTTATAGTCACACACACTCCTGCTCCTGCCAAGGATCCATCTGCTCTTCATCCCTATAGTTTTCTCTTTTTGAAAACGACACACGAATAGAATCATTGTGAACCTTTTATGACATTTTTTTGGTACCGGGGATCGAATTCAGGATCTCACGCCTGCCAGGCAAGGGCTGTGCCACTGAACTAAACCCCCGGCTATAACTGGCTTCTTAAAAGTAGAGTGCTTAGCTGGGAACAGTGGTACATGTCTGTAATCGCAGCACTCTGGGAGGCTGAGGCAGGAAGATCTCAAGTTTGAGCCCAGCCTGGGTAAAACTGTGCCTCAAATATAAAAAATTTAAAAAATGGCTGTGGATGCAGTCCAGTGTGAAGGCTCTGGGTTCAAGTCCCTGTACCAAATAAAAGTACTTTTCATTTACACTGTTGTGAATGAATAGTTTAACCATTATGATTTAACTAATATTATTTCACAGTATGGAGGTATGAAGTGTATTTATGCAATTAAAAGATATTTGTATATTTTTTCAATTTCTGGCAATTCTGAATAGGGCTGGTATAAATATTTGTGTATGGCTTTTTGTGTGAATATAAATCTTCATTTCAGGGCCAGGGATTTCCTCAGTGGCACTGTGCCTGCCTTACAAGCGCAAGGTCCTGAGTTTGATCTCCAGTACCAAAAAAAAAAATCTTCCTTTCTTTAGGGTGAATACCTGATGAGTGGGACTGCTAAGTCATGTGGTAAAGTCATGTGGTAAAGTCATGTGGTAAGTGCATGTACAAGGACATGGCTAACTTTTTTCCCTCTGGTCCTGGTGATCAAACCCAAGGCTCCTCAAATGCTAGGCAAGCACTCTACCACTGAGCTACATACCCAGCCCTGTTGCAAATCACGTTTTGTTTTTGGAGACAGGGTCTTGCTATGTAGTTCAGACTGGCCTCAAACTCACTATGTAGCACAGGCTGGCCTCAAACTTGTGGTGATCCTCCTGCCTCAGCCTCCTGAGTGCTGGGATTACAGATGTACACCACCATGCCCAGCCAAATCATTTTAAAAAGTGGCTATGTATTATGACTATGTGAGCACTCTAGTTGCTCCATGTCCTTGCCAAGCACTTGGTATTGTCAGTAGTTTTCATTTTTAGACATTTTAATGTAATTTTCATTTACATTTCCCTAAGGGCTAACAATGTTGAATTTTTGTAATGTGCTAAATTGCCATCCTTTGATGAAGTGTTTTTGTCTCTTAATTTTTTCTTTTTGAGACAGGGTCTCACTATGTAGTTAGGTCAGGCTGGCCTTGAACTCACTATGTAGCCCAGGCTGGCCTGGAACTCTCGGTGATCCTCCTGCCTGAGCCTCGAAAGTGCTGGGATTACAGGTGTGCACCACCTGGCCTGGCTTCTTTCTCTCTCTCTCCTTCTCTCTCTCTCACCAGGAATCTATGGTTTGTCTCTTTTAAAAACTGTGTTATTTTCTTACTGTTGGGTTTTGAGAGTTCTTAATATATTCTAGACAGAAGTCCTTTGTAGGATTTGCAAATACTTTTTCAAGTCAGTAGCTTGTGTTTTGTCTTCTCCTTCCCTTTCCTTCTCCCTTCCCTTCCCTCCCCTTCTTCCCCTTCTCCCTCTCCCTCTCCTTCTTCCTCCTCCTCTTCTCTCTCTCTCTCTCCCTCTCCCTTGCCCCCTCCCCTCCCCTCCCCTCCCCTCCTCTCCCTCCTTCCTCCCTCCTGGCATTGCCAGGGTCTATGTCTTCACCCCTTTTAGTTTTTCCCTTTTTTTGGTACTGGGGATCGAACTCGGGACCTTGTGCTTGCGAGGCAGGCAGTGGCACCACTGAGCTAAGTCCCCAGCCCAGCTTTTCTTATTTTGAGAAAAGGTCTCACCAAGTCACTAAATTGTAGAGGCTGGGTTTACATTTGCAGTCCTTCTGTCTCACGCTCCCAAACTGCTGGGATTACAGGTATGTGTCATTAAGTCCAGCCTTGTTTTCATTCTCCCAGTATTTTTTGCAGCTAGTTAATTTTGGTGAAGTGCAAGTATAATTTATTTCCTTTTTGGATTATGCTTTTGGTATCATATCTAAGAACTCTGCCTAAACTCTGGCCATGAGTTGTTTGTATTGTTTTAGTTTCATAGTTTTATGTTTTAAATGTACATCTATGGTCTAGATATATATTTTATTTAATGTACTTTATGTACATTTTATTTAATTTTGAGTAAAATGTGTGAGGTTTAGATTGAGGTGGGGTTTTTTGTTTGTTTTTGTTTTTGCTTATGGAGGTCCGATAGGTGAAATAAAATTTACTGAAAATATTATCCTTTCTTCATTGAATTGCTTTTATAGTTTTGCAGAAAACCAATTGTGCAAATTTCTGTGGGTGTATTTTTTGACTCTTATTTTATTTCATTGACTTACGTGTTTGTCCCTTTACCAAGATGACACTGTCTTGATTATTCAATCTGTATAGGGCTGTTGAGAGTGAATATCTCTTGCCTGTCTCTTAGAGGAAAGCATTTAGGCTCTCACTATTGAGCATGATGTTAAGTGTAGGTTCTTGAAGATGCTTTTTATCAAGCTAGGGTAATTTCCTTCTACATAAAAGTTTTCTAACTTTTTGTTGTTGAGTGGACATTTGTCAAACAGTTTTTCTAAATTCATGAATAAACCCAGATTTATGGAGCCAGGGATGGTGTTGCATGCCTGTAATCCCAACATTTGGAGGGTGGAGGCAGGCGGATCACTGAGAGTTTGAGGCCAGCCTGGGCTACATACTGAGCTCAAGGTGAGCCTGGACTACATGGTGAGACCCTGCTGGGGATGTAGCTCAGTTGTGGAGCACTTGCCTGGCATGCACAGAGCCCTGGATTCAATCTCCAGCACCTCAAAAAAAAAAAAAAAAAGACACTGAAATCCTGTCTCAAAAAGATAAAACATAACATTGCCAGTAAAATATACCAGAACCTATGGGACACAATGAAAGCAGTCCTAAGAGGGAAGCTTATTGCAATCAGTGCTCACATTAGAAAACTAGAGTGAGCTCAAATAAATAACCTAATGATGACCCTCAAGATACTTGAAAAACAACAACAATCCATACCCAACCAAATTTAAGATAGGAAATCATAAAGATCAGAGTGGAAAGTAATGAAATTGAGACTACAAAAAAATACAAAGAATAAATAAAGAAAGTTGGGCGTGGTGGTAACACCGGTAAACCCAGCATTTAGGAGGCTGAGGCAGGAAGATTGCTGTGAGTTCGAGGCCAGCCTGGGCTACATGGTGGCAGAAAACTTCCCAATAGGGAAAAAGAATTTGACATACAGATAAGTGAGGCATATTGAACTCCAATTAGTCATGATCAAAAAAAATATACACCAAAGGATATAATAGTCAAGATTCCAGAAATTCAAAGCAAGAACAAAATAGTAAAAGCTGTTAGAGGGCTGGGGATTTAGCTCAGTGGTGCCGCCACCTGCCTAGCAAGCACAAGATCCTCAGTTCAATCCCAGGTACCAAAAAAAAAAAAGCTATTAGAGAAAAAAACAAATCACCTATAAATAAAAGCCAATCAGAGTCACAGCAGACTTCTCCACACAAATCCTCAGTCAAGGAGAGCTTGAAGTGAAGTCTTTCAAGCACTAAAGGAAAACAATCTCCAGTCCATATTGTCTTTTTTGGGGGGGGTACTGGGGATTGAACTCGGGTCCTTGAGCTTGCGCAGCAGGCAGCGAAACCACTGAGCTAAATCCCCAGCCCTCCAATCCATATTGATGTACCGTGCAAAACTATCTTTCAAAATTGATGGGGAAATAAGATAC